AGGGGTAGGTGGCTGTGTCCCACCTCAGAGCTGCAGCATGCTGGGGTCCTCTTACAGAGCCCTGCTCACCTTCTTCCCAGCCCTACTCTGTCTGGTTCCCACAGACTTAATTAATTGTTCAATTAATTCATAAATCAAGGTCCCCAAACCAATGGTCAACACTCAGTCTTCACCTTATTTAATTGCAACAAATGACACCTGGTACCTGCCATGACTTTAATCACCAAGATACCTCGCTCCTCCGGTTCTCTTCCTACTTGCTGCTCCTTCTCCATCCCCGAGTGCCCAGGTTTCAGGCCTGGGCCCTTCCCTCTGCTCATCTGCACCCACCTCCTTTGGCGATGTCACCCGAGTTCAGATGCTCTCAGCTCCCAAATACAATCCATCCTCATTACTCACGGAATCTGTATTTTCAAATTTGCCTACTTGCTAAAGTTTATTTGTACTCCAAACCAATACTGGTGATGCTTCGGGGGTCATTGTGGACATGAGCAGTGTGCCCAAGACTGGGGCAACTGGGGCGCAGGGCGACACTGTCCTCTGGGGCTGGCTCTCACCCTGTCACCAAGATGGTTTTCATGGCCTAGTTAATGCTATGTTTTCCCACATCTTATGCTTTTTGTTGATTTCATTCTTTAAAACGGCCCCCAAGTATAGTCCTGACATGCTGGCCACTGCTCATGAATACAAGGCTAGGATGTGTCTTTTGGAGAAAATGCAGGTGTTTGCTAAGCTTTGCTCAGGCATAAGTTACAGTACTGCTGGCCAAGACCTCAATGTCAACGAATCACTGATATTCAATAAGGTGTTGTTGAAAAGAAATACGTATAAAACTAGGTTATGTACTGATCAACTGATGACAATGCTGTGATCAGAGGCTTGTGATAACTTAGCCCTATATATGCCCTGGGAGCAACGGTTCAGGATTCACTAATTCAGTGCCCATGATGACTTCATAGATCATCATTCCCATGCGTAATGAGATTCAATTGCATGTAGCTTCAGACTAGAACTCTTCCCAGAACTCCAGACTCATATTCCAGTTGCCTTCTTGACCTTGAAAACTTTAGCAAGCCAAAACCCAAACCCTTATAATATTTCTGCAAACTGTGCCTCCCTCAGGCTTTTATGTCTCAATTAGAGGCAATGCACCCTTCCAAGTGCTCAGGCCAAATAACCTTGAAATTACCTTTGACTTTTCTTTCTCAAACTTAAATTTTTCAGAAAATCTTGATGACATAACCTGTAAATTATATCTGGAACCTGACAACTCACCACTTCCACTCTCCCACCTGGCCCAGCCCCCACCATCTCTCACCTGGATAATTCTAGAGCCTTCTAACTGGTCTCTCTCCTCCTACCCTGCCCCTGCCCTCTGCCAACTCTCCTCATCCCAGCCTGTCGCCTCGAGGGATTCTGGTAAAAGCCAGATCATGCCACGCCTTATTTCAGAACCCCCCTATGGCTTCCCACCACCTGAGTAAAAGCCGTAGCCTTCACAATGACTTCCAAGCTAGCTGCACATGCTCTGCCAGCTATTTCTCTGACTTTATCTTCCTCTGCTTGCCTCGCTCCAGCTGCTCCTCCTCATACTCCTGCCTCCGGGCCTTTGTACCATCCTTGGACTGCTTCCTACTAGTAACAGCATGGCCGCCTCTCTCACTTCTATCAAATCTTTAGCCCACTGTCACCATCTCAGTAAAGGCAGCCTTGATTCCTGTACCTACAACTGCAGCCCCTTACACAGACACAAACACACACACATACACACACACACTTCTTGTTCTTTTCCCTGCTTCCTTTTTTCCCCATAGCATTTATCATCATCTAAGATACTAATTAATAGACTTAGATGTTTGCATAAAGTCTATCTCCTTCTCACTCAAATGTTAAGTACCCTGAAGGCTTTATGGGTTTTTTTTTCTTTCTACTGATGCAGCCCCAGCACCTAGAACAGAAGGGAGGCACTAAATAAATAATTCTTGAATGATGAATCATGTAGCACTTCCCTTGCATTATTCAGTTTACCTGTTTGCATTCTCTTGTAATATGGCAAACACTTTGAGGTCAGAAACTGTCTCATACATATGCATATTCCTAATACCAAACCATGTGCAAGGTATATAACAGGAAGTCAACAAACATATGCTGAATGAATGGAAGGGGAGGAGAGAAAGAAAAAATGCTAATTTACTAAAATTTTGGATTTGTATTCAATTTAACAAGCATCTGTGCAAAGGTGAGTAAGACACAGTCCCTGCTCTAGAAAAACCCACATTTCAGTGGTGAAAGACAGATTAACATGGATCCTGATGCAGTCTGATCAGAGCCAGGATGAGAAAAGGGTCAGGAAAAAAACCTAGAGTGATAAAGGAGAGGGTGGGTGTTGGGAAAGCAATAAAAAGAGGGTAACATGTAAGCTGGGTTTTGATGGCTGAATAGGAGCTTGCCATACTGCCTGACTCGGGGAGGAGCCAGCTCCAGCTTTGCTGCCCATGGCCAAAGGCATGCCTATGGAGACACAAGCTTGCCAACATAACCCCTTCCTTCTCTAAGACGTCTCCCAGGAGTCTGTGCTCAAAAATATTAGCAAATGGAATTGCTATATTCCGTCATCCTCTTCTCCCTCTCCAAAGAAAACTTGCGATCTGATGACAAAATTACTCGATGGCTCCACATGCTGCCATATAGGGTAGGAAGAACAAGGGCCACACCTAAACATGGCTCCCAGTTCCCAAACTCTTCAGCATCTGACATCTTAACAGAACCAGACCACTCGGATGGCAGCCACTTACAAGCCCAGAGACACGCCATTCCACAGTGTCTACCAAGATGCAAAGAAGCAAAAATCAATTTAGAAAGTGTTGAGCTTTCCAACATCAGAGCCAAATATGATAACAGTGTGACGCATATGTAAATATGCATATTCTTTGTTCAAACATTTCAGTCACAGCCCAAGGGACACTTCCTGAAGGGGGAGGCTGGGTGGGCCACAGGCCCTCAGCAGCTTCTCAGCCTGCAGTGGCCTGGGGCTCAACTGCTAAAGAGAACAAAGCCATCCCGGCAAGAAGACTGGGTACCATGGTCTCATAAGCTTCTCCATTTCCTAACATCTATGATTTGGCATGGCTGGAACAGGCTCTTCTCCTTCCCATCTTTTAAGAAAGATGAGAATAAGCCTGTCTCACTCATTTTTATTTGCCAGTTGCCTGACAGCTTGGCCTAACTGGAAAAATTCCACATATGCACCCCACATATACTCACACTTGCATCCACTGCCCTATCCTGGGCATATACATGTATGTACACGTTACTTCCCACCACAGCCACGAGTCCAAGACCCCACTGGGGTCTAGCCTGCTCCTGTGACTGACACTTTACTAACCTGGAACAGAGGTTGCTTGCTGGGCCATTAATCTCCATCAAGGCAGGCACTGGCTTCTCAGACACACTGAGAACCCTCTCTCCTCCTCTGCCTAGAGTATTCACACAATCCAGGGACCCAATCCCTGCCTGTGACCATCAGGAGCTAAGCAGTACCGACCATACCTCTCCTCTCCAGCCATTGCCCCATCTTCATCTCCTCCTAAATCCTGGAAGCCTTCCATTCCCCTCATGCTGTTCTCTGTGCCCCTCAGCCTGCTCTTCCCTCCCCTCAAGTTTTTTTAAAAACACAACACCTGTTACTATGCAAGTACTTGAAGGACATGAAGTGCCTCCAAGGTCATTTGGAGTTTCCCACAATGCTCTGAGCCCCAGTGCCATTTAGTTGGAGGCCTGCTTTCCTTGGCCCACCTGGGACGGTCTCATGGTTCTACCAAAACCAGGAATGATGTGGGTCACATAACATCACTCTTCTCCCTTGGGGGCAGACTTACTGTTCTCATTAAGAAAAGCCATGAGATTTTATATGATGAGAATTCAGCTGTGATCTCTGTTTTCCAGAAGTCTGCTCTGACTTCATTTCCCCCATGCTCTTGGATATTTCTAGTATGTCCTCCACTGCCACGTTTTTCCCCACTTAGGGCGTTTGCACAAGCTAATGTCTCTGCCTGGGAGAGAAGGTCCACTCACTTGCCCGTGGCTGGCTGCCCCTTGTCCTAAGGCCATCACCCAAGTCTCCCCCATACCCTGAAACGTCCTCATCCCCCTTGTGCTGCTGCACTCTGCTGCGTGCCCTCACTTTTACCTTCTTCACAGCCCTCAGGAGCTGAAGCAGCCCTGTTCACTTGTTCCTTCATTTGCTGTCCGTCACTCCCAACTAAAGCTCCCTGAGGGCAGGTGCCTCTTTCACTGCCTTTGCCCCAGTGCCTAGAACAGCATCTGGTACACAGAAGGTACTGTAATGAATATTTGCTGAATGAATAATTCACGTAGATGAAAGTCTCCGAAACGTGACGTACAGTTCTCATGGCCTTTCTCCAGGTCCCCAGAGGGCAGAAGATAAATCTCAGAACGCAAGTGTTCATATCTGCCTGGTCTTTTCCATCTTCTGTGTGTTTGGTATGAAGGACCCAGGGTTCTGGTTATAGAAGAAAATTTAATTCTTGGCTGCTCCAGTACAGACCAGGATTGGCTAATTGAAGACAGAATCTTTCTCAGGGTTTGAACCAGATTCCTCCTATTTCCTTGCTGGCTGCTTCTATATCAATCTTTTAACTGTTTTATAAGTATCTATACTTTATTGTTATCTCAGAGTCTCACCATAAATCAATATATATGTAATATTTCTGGCAGGAGAACCCAGGAATTTATCCAAATCAAGGCCTGGCCTCCTACCAGATCCATGCCAAAATCAAACGGGATTTCTACTCAACTATTAAAAAGTTTCAGGGGAAATCACTTCCCTTCCAACATGTCCCAGCTTCTCTAAATCTTTTCATACTTCGCTCGAGGGAAATGAAGGCAGGCGTGCTCATATGCTAGGCTCAAATGCTTAAGACTGTTATGCAGTTGACATGTGGGGGACATGGAGAAACACACACACACACAGTTCTTACCAACATAGCCTGGGGTCCCACAGGCTGTGGACATCACATCTCCTTTGCCCTCCATTTTTGACAATCCAAAGTCACTGATCATTATTTTGGACTCCTCATCTTGACTGTAGTATAAAAGATTTTCAGGCTAGAAAGAAAATAGGAAAAAAAAAGTATAAATTGTTTAAAGCTGGGCTAATTATGGGAGACTCACTATACCACAAAACCTATTCACAATTTAAGAATGTATTTGACTTTGAGACATAGTAGAGGCATTAAGAAAAAGTGTTTAATAAAAGCAACATTGAGGTCCCTGCACAGTACTGGGTACTTAGAGGTTTTCAACAAATATTAGTCCTTTTTCCTTACTAGGATTTTCTCTACTTCAAAAAATTAACCATATATTGAGGCAATGTACAAAGCTGATGCCTCTCAGACTTGTCAATGGGTGAGGGGAAAGGGATTCCATAAATAGAATGACTTCTGCAGGTGCTGTTGGGTTCCTCTTTCTCTGACCCTCGTTACAGACTTGTCCCTAATCCCAGGGGCTCTCTCCCTGCCCTTGGCAACACCCTGACCTGGAGTTCTGCCAGATGCCTTGGACTTGCCCTTGAGTCAGCCAACACCTGCTCAGTCTGTTCCCTGGAAAGTAAAGGAATGGCATTTCCCAATGAATTGGAGTTGGAAGATCCAGCACTTTCTAGCCACATGTCTACAAGTACTCTGAGCTTCTGTTGTCTCTCTGTAGAACATGAGTGGCGAAAGGTCCTGGTTCACTTCCCTGGACAGTATATGGCCAGCCCAGACAGCAGCAATGCACGACACAGGCAAAGGTCTCATTTCCGTTCTTGTCTCCACCTGAGTGCACAGCAGCAGCTGCGCCATGGGAGGGGCTGGGGGTGGCAGTCCTGGGTGGAGTTGGTGGGGGGGGGGGCGACAAAACTATATTCATGCAGCATTTTTTGGAAAACTGGAGACTCCTGTTCCTAGCAAAATAAGGGGCAGGGCTTATGGCAGCTGAGGTAGATATCACAGACTCAAAAGCTTGGCCCCACGCCAGACCATGAGCACAGAAAAGTTGCTCACACTTATGTCTCCGCAGAGTTGCTTCAGCAGATCATGTGGTCATAGAGCAAAACAGCACAGACATCCAGCAAATCTGCCCCCACCCCCCAACATCACCCCCAGGGAATAAGTGATCGTGTCTCATTCACACTAAACCTCAAAGGAAATGCAAGGGGAATAACCAGACCTGGGTTCTAAACTTCCTTTCCCACACCACTTCCCATCTGGCTCTCCTCCTGACCCCAGAGTGAAGCAACAGCAGCTCCTGCCAGTGGGTTGTGATGAATCTTCAGTTCCTGAATATTGAGTTTTAGCAACTATTCTTATGTAGGGTGACCAGGCTTATTTAGAGAAGTGGTTCTCAGCTCAGTTGTGAGTCCTGACTGTCTGGAGATGTTCTTCATCAGTAGATTGGAGATTGGCCCAGGCGTCTGGATTTGAGGACACCACGGGGGCTTCCGGTGTGCAGCTATGACTGTGAGGAGGCTGAGACCTGACCAAGGTGCCTTCCTTGGACTGACTTTGGCCAGGCTCCTCTGAGCTGTCCTCTCGACCAGCCCTTGTGGGTCCTCCCTGTCCTTGCCTGACCTGCACAGCCCAGTTTAGCCAGAGTCCTGAAAAGTTGATCTAGAAAATCTCTCACCTTTGCATCTGAGTCAAGTTCTTCATTCCCCACTTTTGATATTGTTAGAAAAAAAAATTTTCAGAAGCTTGTTAAAGACAGTAAGGAAGACTTAATTCAGGGGGCCTACTGTAGTGGGATCTGCCGAAGATGGGAAAGAGACTGCACTCAAATCCTGCTATAACAAGGACAAGTGGAGGATTATAGCCCAGAAGCAGGGAGGGGGCAGAGGGGGCAAAATTACTAGGATGGGCCATCATAGGTAAGGGGTGGACTCTGGCTACCCAAACGCTGAAGGCAGACCAGAGTAGTCAAATATGGAGGGTAAGGGTGGGAGATTTTCACTACAGTAACTTAGTGGGAATCTTGCTAAGACTGGATCATGTGGGCAGAGCCACAGAGTAAGGATGGAGCCCAAGGCTGGAGCCCAGTCAGAATGAAGACTCAAGAGGGCCCCAACTCAAGTTTGGTTAAAGGAGAAAGTATCAATGTGTGTGCTCTTGGCCAGACTTTAAGCAAGAATCCCCCAATCACTGATGGCTTCTCTTAGTAATTTTCCATCCCTATCCCCTAAACTGTACTTAATGGCTATAAATCCCCATGTGTCCTTGCTGAATTTGGAGTTAAACCCAATTCTCTTGAATAAAGTGTTCCTTAGCATTTTCACAAGTGTTAGAATAGTAATTTCTTTTCTTAACAGAGGAGAAAAACACTATCCTTTACCCAAAGTCATAACACAAAAAAGAATGGTATTTAACATTCTCAGTGACATGAATCTTGTGGCTGAAGTGTGAATTAGAAGAAAATCAGATGTATACTTAAAGATGCTTTCCACGAGTTTTAAAAGAAAATAAGATGGACCAATCAACAGCTAAAATAAGAATAATGCTTAGAAAGTAGGGGGGAATAATCTAATCAAAAAGAGCATGTGGTTCATGATTTCTCTGAATGTTTATAGATTATCCTTTAATGAACAGTAAGGGTTCGATCATGGGTGCAGACAGGATTTTTTTAAAGTTTCTGATTTATAACCTTTCTGTCTGAGTATTTCTGCAGATGTAAAGCTCAGCAAGGAGTGGGAAGTCAGTGATCTCATGCTTTTAAATAATGCTGCATCCTAGCAAGAGACTGTCAAAGAACCACAAAGCCCTTCTTACACATTCATCTTTTTTTTGTGTGTGTGTGTGTGTATATCCTTTATTAAAATTATTTTATTTCAGTTTTATTCAAGTATTATTGACATACACTCTTATGAAGGTTTCACATGAAAAAACAATGTGGTTACTACATTTACCCATATTACCACGTCCCATCCATACCCCAGTGCAGTCACTGTCCATCACTGTGGTAAGATGCCACAGATTCTGTATTTGCCTTCTCTGTGCTACACTGTTTTCCCCGTGATCCCCCAACACCATGTGTACTAAGCATAATACCCTTCAATCCCCTTCTCCCTCCATCCCGACCAGCCCCCCCACACCCCTTCCCTTTGGTAACCACTAGTTCATTCTTGGAGTCTCTGAGTCTGCTGCCATTCTGTTCCTTCAGTTTTGCTTCATTGTTATACTCCACAAATGAGGGAAATCATTTGTCACTTGTCTTTCTCTGCCTGGCTTATTTCACTGAGCATTATGTCCTCCAGCTACATCCATGTTGTTGCAAATGGTAGGGTTTGCTTCTTTCTTATGGCTGAATAGTATTCCATTGTGTATATGTACCACACCTTCTTTACCTTCTTTATCCATTCATCTACTGATGGGCACTTAGGTTGCTTCCATATCTTGGCTATTGTAAAAAGTGCTGCAATAAACATAGGGGTGCATATGTCTTCTTGAATCTGAGAAGTTGTATTCTTTGGGTAAATTCCAAGGAGTGGGATTCCTAGATCAAATGGTGTTTCTATTTTTAGTTTTTCTGAGGAACCTCCATATTGCTTTCCACAATGGGTGAACTGGCTTACATTCCCACCAGCAGTGTAGGAGGGTTCCTCTTTCTCCGCACCCTCGCCAGCATATGTTGTCCTTAGTCTTTTCGATGCTGGCCATCCTTACTGGTGTGAGGTGGTATCTCATTGTGGTTTTAATTTGCATTTCTCTGATGATTAGTGATGTGGAGCATCTTTTATGTGTCTGTTGGCCATCTGAATTTCTTCTTTGGAGAACTGTCTCTTCATATCCTCTGCCCTTTTTTTAATTGGGTTATTTGCTTTTTGGGTATTGAGGCATGTAAGTTCTTTCTATATTTTGGATGTTAACACCTTATCGGATGTCATTTACAAATATATTCTCCCATACTGTAGGATGCCATTTTGTTCTGTTGATGGTGCCCTTTGCCGTACAAAAACTTTTTAGTGTGATGTACTCCCATGAGTTCATTTTTGCTTTTGTTTCCCTTGCTCAAGGAGATGCATTCAGGAAGAAGTTGCTCATGCTTATATTCAGGAGATTTTTGCCAATGTTGTTTTCTAAGAGTTTTATGGTTTCATGACTTACATTCAGGTATTTGATCCATTTTGAGTTTACTTTTGTGTATGGGGTTAGACAATAATCCAGTTTAATTCTTTTGCATGTAGCTGTCCATTTTTGCCAACACCAGCTGCTAAAGAGGCTGTCATTTCCTTATTGTATGTCCATGGCTCCTTTATCATATATAAATTGATCATACCTGCTTGGGTTTATATCAGAGCTCTCTATTCCATTCCATTGGTCTATGGGTCTCTTCTTGTGCCAGTATCAAATTGTCTTGATTACTGTGGCTTTGTAGTACAGCTTGAAGTTGGGGAGCATAATCCCCCCAGCTTTATTCTTACTTCTCAGGACTGCTTTGGTTATTCAGGGTTTTTGTGGTTCCATATAAATTTTAGAATGATTTTCTCTGGTTCATTGAAGAATGGTGTTGGTATTTTGATAGGAATTGCATTGAATCTGCAGATTCCTTTAGGCCGGATGGCCATTTTGGCAATATTAATTCTTCCTATCCATGAGCACGGGATGTGTTTCCATTTATTGGTATCTTCTTTAATTTCTCTCATGAGTGTCTTGTAGTTTTCAGAGTATAGGTCTTTCACTTCCTTGGTTAGGTTTATTCCTAGGTATTTTATTCTTTTTGATGCAACTGTGAATGGAATTGTTTTCCTGACTTCTCTCTCTGCTAGTTCATTGTTAGAGTATGGGAATGCCACAGATTTCTGCATATTAATTTTGTATCCTGCAACTTTGCTCAATTCATATAATAGATCTAGTAGTTTTGGAGTGAATTCTTTAGGGTTTTTTATGTACAATATCATGTCATCTGCAAACAGGGACAGTTTGACTTCATCCCTGCCAATCTGGATGACTTTTATTTCTTTGTGTTGTCTGATTGTCACGGCTAGGAACTCCAGTACTATGTTGAATAGAAGTGGGGAGAAAGGGCATCCTTGTCTTGTTCCCTATCTTAAAAGAAAAGCTTTCAGCTTCTTG